ACTTTACAAGAATAAGTTTCTGTTTCCTAAGCATAAGAATCCTGAAACTTTATGTTTTTCAATCTGTGCTGAACTTGTGACCCTTTGCCTTCCTAAACTCCTGAATCTGTGGTATATGACTGCAGTTTTGCCTTATGAAAATGTGTCTTCCCAGACATCATGATGACCCCCTTTCATATGAAGGATTCTCATACTTATCTATCCCACAGGAAGTCATGAGCCCTGAGTCCCCCCCAATTTTATGCACAGGTGCTAACAGCCATTTATCTTGACAAGTGTTTTATATCAACCCTAACCCTACACCATGAAAGGGACCTCAAAGTCAGTGAAAAGCTGTTCTCTAAAACCCTGACTTTGGGAGAGAAAGCCAGCTGAATAAATAGAGTTTGCTTCAATGAGACAGTTGTGAAATTGGCTTTTTCCTCTCGTTTATGGAGAAATAAAATTCCATTGTGTATATGCTCCATATCTTTATTTTGATTATTCACTAATCCATTTGGATGTAGAAGTGTCTCTGTAGCAGGATAGATATAGAATTCTCTGGTAGATGCCAAGGAGTGATATATTTGGGTTATATATGAGTTCTAATTTTAGTCTTTTGAGAAACTTCTGCATGGGTTTAAAATTTTTAATTTAATATTTTTTTAGACATGCTCTCACTATCTGGCTGTGACTGCCCTGGAACTCACTGCATAGACCAGCGTGGCCTAAGACTCACAAAGATCCATCTGCCACAGTGTCTCTGAGTAATGGTATAAAAGAAACATGTCATCAGTGTAGAGAGCTGCGTGGAGCCGCACCTTAAAGATGGCACTGGCTTCCGCCCTCCGCGATCCCGAAAGCGAGTGCTCTCTGGGATAAACAACTCCATATATGGCTAAGGCCAAGCTCATGCTATCATCATGCGATGATCATAAGATGCTTGTGTATGCACGGGCCTATGGACGGTGTCTACGTGGTGATCCAGGATTGGCGGCCAACGCCTTCTTAAGGGCTAGGAGAGGCTAGCCCGGGGAGAGAGATTCGATTGTCAACAAGGTCCTGAATAAACTGTTTGCAAGAAGAGCTCCGGTGTCGCGTCATCCTTGCTGGTCGAGGAGGTTGCTACACATCAGCAATTTTATAAGTATTTCATTTAGCATTTTTATATCTACATTCATTATGGTGTGGCTACTCTAGAGGAAGTGGGATCTGGAAGAATGGAGCCAAAAAAGAAAGCACACTCAAGTGTCATTTGATAGCCAGCTTTATTTAGAGCATCAGACAGCTTATACCCTGAGGGTTAAGCAGCCTCTTACTGACTTTTGAGGTCCCATTCATAGGGAAGGGTTAGGGTTGATAGAAAACAGTTGTTGGGATAATTGGCTCTTGGCATCTGTACAGAAAAGTGGGGAGCACAGGGCTTAAGACTGCCTGTGGGATAGATAATGTGAGAATATATCATGTGGAAGAGGGGGTTCATCATGGTATCTGTGAAGACACAGTTTTTCAAGGCAAAAGGGTGATCAGTAAAGTTAACATAAATAAAACTCCCATGATTCAAGCTATATACAATCACAAGGACAAGCTGTGCCTGGAGATATTATCTAAATGACAGTAATGAGATAATGGGAAATCTAAAGGAAACCCATTCCTATTTATTACACCTGGCAGGGGCACAAAAGCACATTCCAGGGACAAACCCATGTTTAGAAGGAGCAGAGGTCACAAGCCTCTTATCTTCTTTTCTTGGAGTTTTCTCCCAAGCACTCGGAATTCCCTCACAGAGCTCCATTCTTGGACCATGTGTGCCCACACATGGAAATGAACCTGTGATTTTCTTTGCTGTGTCTGTGTTAGTTTGGATGAAATGGCCCCCAGAGACTCATATTTGAATACTTAGTCCACAGAGGGTAGAGTGTTTGGATGGATTCGGAAGTGTGGCATTGTTAGAAAAAGAGGTGTGTCACTGGGGGAAGGCTTTGAGGCTTCAGAAGAGTCCTGGCATTCCCAGTGTGTTCTCTGCCTCTGTTTGCAGTTTTACATGTGAGCTCTCAAGTGCTGGTCCAGGTGTCTGCTGTCTGCCACCTACATCTGCCATCATGGACTGTATTGCTTCAGAAACATAAATCCTTCCTTTGATGAGTTTCCTTGGTCATGCTGTTTTATCACAGCAATGTAAAGTAGCTGAGACCGAGTCAGTGTTCTCCAGAGAAGAATGGATAGAATTGATATTAAATGGGATTCATTACACTGACCTACATGGCACAGTCCTGTAAGCCAACAATGGTTATTTCACATCACAAAGGTCAAGAATCCAGTAGATTCTGTGAAGTTAGATGTTGCTGCAGTCCGGCCTGATGCTGACGTCCCAGGTTGGTGAAAAGTTGTAACTGTGACTTGGAACATACATTTGTAGTTTTTGTGCTTATAACCCCCCTCTTCTGCCCTGCTCAGGGCTGCCAGGAGGATCAAGGTAGCCTGATCCATCAGTGACGCAACTCATGTGCTGATTTACAAAGGACTGCGCTGTTTCACTGCCCATAGGCGTTGTCTCTCTCCTTCCTCATGGTGCACAATGCACACAGAGTCCATCCAATAGGACATAGAAAGGAGAGCATGAGCTGTCATTAGCACCCAGTCCTGCTCTGCTCCTTGACTCTGGGTGCAGTGTGACAGCCACCTTGAACTCCTCATGCCATCCCAGAATCCTGTTTCTGTGACTTCTGCACTATGATAGACACCACCTGGCACTGTGACAAAATAACCCTTCTCCCTCCAGCTGCTTTTGTCAGGAATCTTAGCAGAGCAACAGGAAAAGTAGCAAAGGCAGCAGCGTCCACCTGGGGAATTAGAGAGCTATGTCACTCCTAGTTTGGAGATGCTCTACTAGAGACTGCTGTACCGACAGACTGACACTGGATTACACTAAGGGGTCGCCCAGAGTGGGAAGACCCAGTGTTGATGGAAACCCCAAAATAGTAATTTTTTAAAACTAAGCGTCTAATATGATGCAATTCAAAGATAGACTAATTTGATAATTACTTGCTGAAGAGCGACAGCAGGAACACATTAAAAGTCTGTTTTCTAATACTAAGACTTGTTTCTTTAAGAACAGAAAGTTTATATACAATAAAAACTGCAATCCATATTATATTACAGTGTCTCATCTGAGCTGTGGAGTTTCAGAGTGTTCACTGGTGTCCTCTACTGTGAAGGCCTCCTCTGCAAAGTGCACATGTGTGCTCAGAACAAGGTTGAGGTGACATCATAAGACAACACCAGGAAGCTGGGCCAGAAGCAAGGACATGCTATACAGTTGATTTTGAATTAGTTTTTGGTCATTGTGCTTCAGAAGCATTTGGTGTTACCAAGATCTTCACAAGCCTCACACGGAGTTGTGTGACCTGTTGGATTATAATCCACAGAGAAATGGGACTCATCAGTAGAAAACTCCTAGATCTTCTCCAAGCCTCTGTCTTCATTCACAATTGTTTGCTGATGGCGCCTGGGGAAGTCATGGCTGGTGCCACTAATATATTCCACATCCCTTCTTTGTGTTAACTTACACATACCTAGGACTTTTCTATCTTCAAAATATTTAAATCCAAGAAACAAACATAAAAACTTTCTGAGCCCAAACTCCCACCCCCACCCACGGCCTGACTCCCCATCTTCCTGTTCAGTCACCTTCTGGGAAGGTCTGGCTAGGTTTGCAGCTTCTACTTCCTCCTTCTGTCAGACTTCAGCCTCCCCAGACTCCCTGCCCTCTCTGTTTTCATCAGACTGGGCTTCCGGGCCCACAGAGGGCCAGCACACCCTAACCCTGGAGTGGCAAAGCCTCTAACTGTCTCACACATCTGCTCATTGCATGTTGAGGAAACAGTTCCCAGCTCTTCTCACCCCTGTCCCAGTCAGCCCTCTTTACTCCTGCTCTAGGATCCAGTCTCTTGCCCCACTCCAGACCGAACTTTTCATATCCGTCAGCAAATGCTGCCTTCAGTGGCAGCTTAGAGCCCACGTTTCCTCCAGGCCTCTCTGGAGTGTGCAGGTCGGCAGCCTTTTTTCTCCTGTGTCCACTCCAGCACCATGCAGCAGCCCTAGTGATTCTGTGCTTGTGAGTCACCACCCAGAGTCTCCCCTCCCCCAATCCTCTAAGGCCCTTTCTTGATTCTCCTTAGGCTTCAGGTGCTATGTCACCTGCCCATAAGCTCTTCTGGAACCCCTGCTCTCCTGCTCCAGCAACACCCGTTTACTGTCTTATCTCCTGTGACCCCAGCATCTGTGTCCCTCCATTGTACACCCAGAAAGCATGATTGGTGCCTAGCTCACATTCCTCAAAACTGGGAGTCGTAGACACAGTGTTCACAAATGAGAAAACAGAATTCAGAAGCAGGAACGAGGCAGGTCAATTCTGACGTCTGGTCTCCAAGTGAGCAGAGAGCATCCTGAGAGGATCATTTGTGTGCCCCCCCTTTTTTTCATACAATATGAGTTTCGGATATGCTGAAGTTATCCTAGGGATGAAGCAAAGCTCATCTGTGGGGCGTAAAGTGTAGGAGGAGCCCAGCTAGGGAGCAGCTATGTAAGGTGTACTGGTGACCAGAATCCTGGGGACTGCCCGCTCTGAAGTACTGACTCACTTCTGCTGAGTGCAGAAGAAACTGGGACTGGGTGTGCCCAGGGTCCTTGGGTGTGTGTGTGGGTGGGGGTTTGCATTATTCCAATCCGGAGACAGCTAGGTGAAAATAAAAAGTAAGGGCGTGGAAGAATTTCCAGAAAATGAAAGCAAAAGAGAAGTTACCTCAGATAAGAGTCTCGGCAACTTTGAGGGGACCCTGCAGTCGCAGTTTCCCAGGCCAGCCAGGATTGCAGTGTCCAGACCGTTCCCGCTGCTGGTCAATGAATCTTGGGGCCCAGACCCTCCCCTCCCGAAGACCTTGATCAACAAGTTGCAAAAGTACTTCCAGAACCAGAAGTCTGGCAGAGAGGAGTGAGAGGTGGTCCTCCTGCCTGGGAGCATGGAGAGTTTCTTGGTGAATTTCTCCCAGAAAAATGGTGAGGGGCGCCAAAGCCCAGAAGGGTCACCCTGCGTGGAGTTCAGGGCCACGGGTGGCAGGCCCAGAACTCGGAGCAGCACCTTGGGAGCAGGAGATCCTCGGGAGCAGAATCTGGGAGGCAAGTGCATCCTGGAGGGGCGGTTTTCCTTGCTCTTCCAGGAGCTTCCTGGTGCTGTGAAGCTTCCCTTGCTTTGATTTTTCTTTTTTCTTTCCTTCTTCCTTCCTCTCTTTCTTTCCTTGTTTCTTTCTTTTCCTTCTTTCTTTCTCTCTTACTCTTTCTCTCTTCCTTTCTTCCTTCCCTCCTTCCTTCCTTTTCTTTTCTTTCTTTGTTTCTCTCTTTCTCTTTTCTTCCTTCTTTTTCTTTCTTTCTTTCTTTCTCTCACTCTCTTCCTTTCTTCCTTCCCTCCCCCTACTCTTCTTTCTTTCTTTCTTTCTTTCTTTCTTTCTTTGATCCTTCCTTCTTTGGTTGCTTCCTTTCTTTACTTCCCTGTTTTTATTATGCAACTGATGCAGTTAAAGAATTAAGAATTTTGAGGAATTGTGGGTCAGCTAGCACCAAGGGTTCTAGCTGGGGAGGGGTGTCATTGGGAGGTGAGCTTGAGGAGGGAAAAACCCAGGAACTTTTATGCCACAGCCTGGCCAAAGTTCTGGCTTTGTCCTTAAGCTGCCCCAGAGTGTCCTTAAGTGGCTGTGGACATCACCTTCCTTTTTTATTTAAATAAAAACAATGTTTTGTTAACTTTAACATAGCAAGATTACATACAGCATAACAGCTACCAATCAAGAATTATAGTTACAATATTTAGTCCATTTACATTTGAAAAATTAAGGAAAATATTCTATTGTTTACCTTGTCTTTGTGAGCCTAAAGTTTTATGTCTAATTTATCTTTTATAATATCTATGGAAAAGTATAACTATAGCTATCTGTTCTTTAACTCCATCAAAGACCCCAGAAGGATATATTACCTAAGTAAACAAGAAGTGCATTGTAAACAACTTTCAAAACTCTAATTAACAGAGATGTCTCTGAACCCAGAGTTCTTTTGTATCATTGCAGTATCCATCTTTAGCCTTCAGGCTCATAGGTTTTTTTTTCAGACTTTTCTATGAAGCAGGAAATTTGAAGATCTCTTATGCCTTGTACTGACAAAGCTTATTGGTTGCTTTTTTTTCTGTGTCTTTTAAAATGTCTGGCAGATTCTTTCATAAAGCAGGAACTGTTTCACCCTTAGGCAAGTTTAGCAGTCATTTTTCTGTGGTCTTTGTATGTCCAGTTCATACAGCATAGCATCAGGCAATCCAGGAAAGAGCAGTTTCTTGCCCAAATGGCAAACTAACTCCATAAAAAGCCTCTTCAATACCCAGCATCCTCTTGAATTAGATTGGTACTGCCAGGAGCAAATGTGTCTCAAGGTCATGAAAAACCCTAAGTTTTTGAAACATTTTAAATGCCATATTTTGTAAGTCTTTGAAAGGTTTGAAGAATACCTATCCATCTGAAATATATCTCTGTACATATAGAAAACCTAACTTGACTATAAGCTTGAGTATTATATATGACTATCTATTAACCTGTTTATTTAATTATACCTTACATTTGTAAATAAGCTGCACAAACACAACACCTGAATCAAGAGTAGAAATATTTACCTTAAGTTTGTATCAATAGAGCAAGATCCATACCAATGCAAAATATTTATCTCTATAGCATACTCCTCTTTAAATGAAAACAAACATTTATACACAATTATTTAGGGAATTTGGGCGTAGTTCTCTCCAAACTGCTTCTTGCTTTTTGTTGGATGAAGTAATTTTGGGGTTCATGGAGACCTTTTAGGAGGTCTTGGTCCATCAATCCATGTTAATCTAGAAGGAATTCGCAGGTTCTCACCCTCTGTGGAAACAAAAACAGAACCTCTTTTCCAAATCAACAAATCCTTAGACCCAAATTTTGAAGTGAAGATACCTTTAAAATATATATGTTGGTTTAGCTTAGCAGCCAATACAATGAAATATCTCTTTGTACTTAGCTCCTACACAGTCAAAAAATTCAAGAAAAATACAATAATATATATAATTCAGACGCTCTGTGTTTATTTCTTTTCTATATGCTTATTTTTCTTTAATCCTTTAATCTATGACTGTCTGTACTCTTTTATATTAAATTTATTGCCTCTTTAAAGACTTTACTTTTTATAGCTCTTTATATTTCTTTTTCTCTTTCAAGCCTACATATATTTTTTAAACACACTGTGCCTCATTTAAAGGTCTTTTATGTCTGAATCTGTCCTGCTGTGTATCTGTAATCCTTTTTTGCTAAACAGTGTGGCTAGGACTAAGGTTGCTTTGTCTTTTAGTTCTGCCCAGGCCAATATGGTGGGGGTCCTTTCAGTGCCAGCTCTGTAAGCCATGCCCACAGTCCTATTTCCAGGCACACAGCACATCTATGTTGACATTAAGCAAGTTGTAGCACTCTGCTCACAAACCCCATTTAAATGCTCCATAACCAAACCTCCCAAAAGAATGAGAGCCATTTGTGCTGGAGAACCAGGAAGTCTTCCCGTAAAGAAACCAACCTCACAGTCCTTGCCACTAAAACTGAGTCAGTAAACCTTTCAAAGCAGCCACAGCACCCCTGCTCACAGCCAACAAACAGAGCCCATCCAAAAAAAAACCAAAATTGTCTACCAAGAAGCTGCACTAAACTCTGTTTTGTTTTTTGTTTTTTATGTCTAGAATTCTCAGGTTTTATGTGGATATAGTCAGCCCCACATTGGCACGCCAATCTGTAGACGTTAACTGCTCACTCATTCCTGCCCAACAGACCCAAAATAATCACACAGAAACTGTATTAATTAAAACATTGCTTGGCCAAACACTTAGGTGTATTGCTAGCTAGCTTTTATATCTTAACTTAACCATCTCTATTAAGTTGTGCATCATTACAAGGTTGTGGCCTACCAGCAAGGCTCCACCAGGCTCCTGAGAGAATTTTGAGTACCAAAGACACTCCACTTGGAGCTTGTTTTCTTCATGGCAAAACTGGCCTTTGGGTAAGGAATTGTCTATGCCTCACCCACTGACAAAATGCACAGTGTCCTGACTAGAAAAGTAGGATACAAGATAAAAGATTGTCAAACCTTGCCAAGACAGAGTAATATGATTTTGAAATTTTTCCTGCTTCTTAAAATAGTCTGTCAATTACTCTAGACCTTAGCCAAACTTGGTTGCTCCAAGGTTGCAAATGAGACCTTGGATGATTGTCCAGGTAGTCCGTTGTCTCTATCATTTACTGCACTTTTTGAAAACTTCTTGACTGTACTTCCTGCTTACTCAAGTAATATTATCTCCCTTGGATAGCTATAGTTACTTTTCTCTTATGACATAGCCAAGCCATTTCTAATACAAGACTCAAACTCCTTAGAATAGAATAATTATTGAAACAAACAGCATATGTTTCTTGCTTAATATTGTTTATGTTGGTTACAGTTTTAATTTTTATACTTGATATATGTTCTTATTATATATACTTTTGTATTGGGTTTGGAATGATCCTATTTAGACAAAAGGGGGACATGCTGGGGACCTCTTTCAGCCAATGGCTTTGAGATGCTGGACCAGGTTGAGCATGGCCTTGGGTACCAAAAACATGCATGCTCGCATGCCCTCTCTCTCTCTCCACTCTCACCTGGCTGATGGATTCAGTTCCTATTCCCCATTCATGCAGAGGACTATGATCAGTGAGTCCCCACCTAAATAAAGAACCCTTTATTATGCTCAGTTCTGAGTTGGTGTGGGACTACTTTATTTACATTCTCCTACAAGCAACCACATCCTAGGTCATGGTGTCTAGCCACACTTGTCAACAACTTTGAACAAGCTGAAACTCTCTAACCTTTAGACAAGTTCGAAATGGGCATCCATAACTGTCCTTTATCATATAACTGTTTGAGTGTTTGGGTGGGGTGGGATACTGGGAGAAATAAAAAGTCCCAGGTGATTCCAAGTAAGGAGTTGGAACTCTTTCTCTACTTCCCCGGGAGGAGTTAAGACTGGCCTGCTACCATGCCACACTTCTGGAAGGCACTAATGTCAACAAACTTACCCTTAGTGCTTAGTGTCAGACACCTGCTAATCTGTGTGTGTGTGTGTGTGTGTGTGTGTGTTAATTTGTTAGTTACTTTCAACAACTCTGTGACAGGGGTTTGATGTTGCTGAGAGATGGAGGAACTGGAATTGAACCCAAGCAGGCAACTTCCACTCCCCTTTTTCCTATTATTTTACCACACAGCACTTCTCATAATGTAACCCTTTCATGGTCACACACATGGAGAAGAGGGAGCCCACTTAATGGGTAAAATGAGTGCCACAGTCAACAAGATGGCAGAATGGGCCAAGGCACTGCCATAAAGTCTGACAGCCTGAGTTTTATTTTTAGGACTCATACAAGTTGTCCTCTGACCTCCAGATGCACGTACACACATACACTGGCATATACATGAAACATGAAATACATAAACATGAAAAAGAAAATGACTGCTCTATTAGATCATTGTCATAAACAAGACCCAGCTCTACCTAAAACATGAAAAATTTCCAAATCTAAGCCCCCATGTCCCATGAGCACGGCAGTAAGATGTCAGTCAAGTTCACAGGAGGTGTAGGATTGGGGTGAAAACTGTGTTTATTCAAAAAATAAGGGATAATAATAGTGGGTAATGGAGTGAATATTTGTGAGCTATTATTTATGAATAATTTATATTGGTATAGTTTTTCTATATTGATACAAGTTAAATTATATTTGTTATTTCTGTTTTCAGTATTTGTGCACCTATGCAAAGTTATTCTGACAGATTATATACATACATGTTTCTTCCTCTGTTTAGGACTACCTTTAGGATATATTTTCATATTGTATTCTATATTATTCTTACCTCTAAACAAGATACTTATACATTGTTTACATTTTGAGGTTATTGTCCTCATTTGCTGCACATTTGCTTACTGATTATTTAATATCCTGAAGCCTTAGTCCTTAAGTTATACAGGTATTAAATATTATAGGTCAGTAGTTGTTCATGTTTGTTATTCACATAAAGTCAGATTAATTAGGTTC